TGGAGTAGGGTAACTTTACTTTAAGAATTGGTGCTTTTATTTTATTTTTTTCAATGTGACTCATTTTAATTAACATGTATTCCTTAAGGGATACAAGTAGATGAAATTGCTACTCTAAGAAAATGGCATATTTGTATAACTATTTTAGACTAGTCCTCTTTGATGCAGTTTGAAGTCAATTTTATAGTCATTAATAGTAATGTGAATTCTTCCTTGTAAGGAACTGCAGTATTATACTTCTTTTGGGGATGCAGAGAGAAGAACTGCCCAAAGCCTAAGAACCAGTCAGTGGAAGGCCTGAAATTAGACTTGTGGTCTCTAGGTTTTTCATCTGTTCATTTCTAAGGAGCCAACTCCTCTTTTGCTAGAAACAGTTCAGCTTAGTGGGCTTTGCTCTACTCGATGTCCACAGTGTGTTGGGTGATACTCATCACCACCTATTCTACTTTCCAGCAGCCCTTTAATGCCTGGACCCACTTTTTCCTGCCCATGGTTTAGAATACCTCCACCCGGAGGAAGTGAAGTTGCTTAAAGTGTAGACAGAAAAGAATGAGGAAAGGGTCAGGGAGGGATACTCAGAGCCTCATCAGCATTGCTGCCAAGACAATATTTTCTTGAACCAAAGAAGCCACAAGCAAATAGCCATCTTCTCATTTGGTCCCTGAGGATAGAGGTTGTATAGGTAGGTAGTGTTTTCTGGCTGTGTATTTCTACACACACACACTCCAGCCAATCCTAAATCAGAGTCCATGGGGTGAGTATGAGACCTCAGTATTGTGAGGAAACTCCACGGGTAAATCTGATGGACAAACAGCCAGGACCTACATTCACCCATAAGCCTTTGCTCTTGACTGAATGGGATAAATGATGCTGCTTTAAATAAGAGATCAATATGATTTGAGTATTTCTAAAAATTAAATATAGCTCTAACCGGTTTGGCTCAGTAGATAGAGCGTCGGCCTGCGGACTGAAGGTCCCAGGTTCGATTCCGGTCAAGGGCATGTACCTTGGTTGCAGGCACATCCCCAGTAGGGGTTGTGCAGGAGCCAGCTGATTGATGTTTCTCTCTCATCGATGTTTGTAACTCTCTGTCCTCTCCCTTCCTCTCTGTAAAAAATTAATAAAATATATTTTTTAAATAATTACAAATTAACTATAAATTATTAGTTTATGTGTCTAAATGGAGACATGAATGTTGTGATATTGTTAACATGAATGCTAATAGGCTCAGACTGAAGAGTCCATCCTAATGGATTGCATTTTGGTAAGTGCTGATTTAGTCCAAGGCAGAATTTGGAGCTGTTCATTCGTCGTAAACCATACTTCTCAGGAATTGGCAATGAAGGCAGCCAGTAGTGGAGCCAAATGATTGTAATGTGTAGATTGGGTGGCCCATGTCTGGCTCTCTCCCTTTCAAAAAGTGGAAGTTAATGTGGTTTTTTTTTTTAAAGACTTTTGAAATGATAGATGTTTTATTAACAATTCTAGGGGGAAGTGTTCGTTATGATGCATTTTTCCAAAGATGAGTATCTTTATTTCACTTTTTATAGTTTAGGTCTCTTCTGTGAACATATTTATTTGAAAGAAGATTTTGTGCACATCTGCATGTTTGAGAGAGATGTCTTTGGGGAGGATCCTGTTGGTGGTAATCACTCTGTTAGCCCCTTTTAGGAATGCGTCATTGCTTCAATATCCTGCCCTTCAAAGGCTGCCTTCTGTAGCCAAAACTGGGCTTCGTACCTTCCCTTTTCTTTCTTTTTTTAAACTTAATTTTATTTTTTTATTTTTTTAATATAAGGAGTATGCCGGGTGTTAAGTATCTCCACAGACGTGGTTGGGATAGAATTTGCCTGGGAATCCAGGGGCAGGCAAGTGTTTGTGCAGTCTGTGCCAAAAAGATGTTTCCAGGGAGATGACAAGACCTCGGTTCCTGTCCTCTGGAGGGAAAGATTTCAATCAAGAGACTGTAGAAAAGCAAGCAAGAATTTATTGACCACAACAAAAATATACTTAGGAGTGTGAGACACGTAAGGACATAGAAGAAACAACAGGAGAGTCTGGCTGGGTTCACTGGGAAGTCAAGAGAATAGGGGGCCTTGGAGACAGGTTTAGGGGATTAGCTGGGATAAGCCGCTGCTGCTGCCCATTGCTCCCCTGGTTGCAAGTCTCATGGAGTCCTTTAGAGTTTAGGGGATACGTACGTGCTTTTGGGGGAAGATGAGAGGGAGGGAACGGCACAGACATGTTCCATGGAGAGAGAGTGCCATACTTTACCTTTTCTGCTCTGTGTTACACATGTGACTCAATACATCTGTGAAATGGGTAAAAAGTATGTTAATGCAGGAAGTAGACACATGAAGGAAAAACCAGTTATTGAGCATTCTTTTATTTGTTTAATTTCGTTGTATGATAGGAATACTCAGCTGCTAACCTTTCTGTGCAGGTGTGTAGTAAGGACATGAGAAGCCCCTAGTTCACTGTGTGTGGGTATCCGAGAACAGCCTGGGCTACTTCCTGTGGCTGTGCTTTTGAAAACAAGCACACTGCCTCTGTGAAATACAGGCAGCTCAGCCACAGAAACACCTAAACACTTAGATAGAGATCATCTTGCTGGCCTTGAGCTTGTGAAAAAGAAAAGCTTTGAAGAGAGGGTGGCCATCACTGAGGGTATATGTTTTTGATGCAGACATGGGGAGCTTACGCCATCATGAAGTTAAGACAGTCAGTATTCATTTTATCTGTAATAGTGGCAGCATTTTAGATAGGCCCAGGTTTGAAAACCAGTCCCTTGGGCAAGTTACTTATCCTCTTTCTGCCTCAGTTTCCCCATATACAAAACGGGGATAGTAATGATACCTACCTCATTGCCTGCATGGAAAGTAAGTGTCTATGTAAACATTGGTGAGTGCCTGGCTTCTAGTAAGTGCTAAGTATAAACTGTTGCTGCTGTCATTGCTATTGCAACTATTAATGTTATTGTAACTTTTATTCTTCCCTGCTCTCGGATCATGTTTAATTTGTAGAACTGCCACACCTTTTTTTTCCTTCTTAACTTGCTTACCTTTCAGCAATTTTTACCGCTATATCAATAATCCACCCAAGGATAAAGAGAGGAAAAGAAAAATTATCAGACTTGTCATGTTTTATTAAATGTGTCAAACATATAAAAGTAAAAAGAACATATTTATAGGAAAGTGCTATTTTTAAAGGTTAAAGGTGTAAAGTGTCATTTGAAGTGTGGAAAGTGGAAATTACAAGCCTTTTGCCTTGACCCAACTTTTTAAATATTCTGTGTATGCAATGCATATTGCACATAGTTGTAATCCTAGAGGACATATCATTTTATGGATTTTAACCACCCAGCATTACAACATGAGCATTTTTCTCTGTCACTTAGCCTTGACAGTTTTCAATGTGTTGTGTGTTTTTTTAATCATGGATAATTATTGGTTTGTTGTATACAGTTTCACCCTTTAAAAATATATATATAAATAAAATGGCAGTGAAAATCCTGCAGATGGTAAGGGTTATCTTAGGAGATTTTTTTTTTGTTTTGATTAGGAGTCTCTGTATTTGTTTCCTGATACATGGGAATCTTATTGTAATGTGGTTCTTTAAAGTTTTATTGGAACACAGCTACACCTGTTGGTTTGCCTATGGCTGCTTTTGTGCTACAACAGCAGAGCTGTGTTGAGTAGTTATGTCAGACCAAAAGTGGCCCACAAGCCCATAGTGTTCGCTCTCCCTTTACAAAAAGTTTGCCACTACTTTTATCTAGACAAGGTTTCTGAACTTCAGCAATAATTATTTGTTTTGAAAGGCCGTCCTGTGCATTATAGAATGTTTATCAGCATCCATGGTCTCTGCACTAGATACAGAGAGCACCACTGCCCCGTCCCGTACCAGTGTGACAGCCAAAAATTTCTCCAGACTTTGCCAGTCATCTCTGGGGAGATCTCTGGGGAGCAGAACCACCCCACCCCCTGCTCTGAGAACCACTAATCTATGGTGATGTGGCTTGACAAAACATCCATTTATAGTACTAAGAAAAAGAAAAAAATCTTTAGAGAGCTGAAAAAATTAAAAAGTTGTTTTATGCTACATTAGCATTCTCTCCAGAAACAGAAATGTTTCCTTTAGCAGATAGAGGAACTGAGTAGGGCAGAGGAATTGATGCACTGAAGTTCCACAGTTCACTGCTCACTGGGGAGCAAATAAGATGGAAGTCACACCATCTCTGAAGTTAGTGGGGACATGTGGTTAATTTTGCAGGCTTTCTGGTCCACCTGATGAAACACGATGTGACCGCAGGGTTTTTGTTAACTGAGTGTGTAGATGTCATGTGTATATATACCCAGTACCTTGTGCTGAATCTGGCCAGAAGGAGTTAGTAAATATTTATTAAATAATTGATAAATGCAGTAAATTAATACTTATCTGTCTTAGTTGTGGTTTTAGGTTGTCCATATAAGTTCTTACCCTCATTACACAAAATAATTTAATAACTGGTTATATTTACCTCCATTAGAAGTTGTGAGAATTGGATTAAATGTCAAAACCTATAAAATTGTGTTCAGTTCTTATAAGATCTGGTGCTTGAATACTTTTCAGAGTGATGATTTTCAAAGCTATAGAAAAAGGCTATGTTAAGAGGAAAGTAAGTATTGGGGCACAGGTTTTAGTTAATAAACAATGTATGTAGTATTTCTGAATTCTCATTTAGAAAATGGGGTGATTTAGAATTGGAAAAATTGCCTTTCAAAGTGAATATCAAGTATTCCTTTATCTAGTTCTTCAAATTAAAATTAAATTTAAGTTTTTTAATTGGTATTAAAAGGAATGTACAATGTACAGCACAGATAATGGAGCACATGTCCATGTGGTTAAATGTCTAGGAAGGTAAGCTACTGAATGTATAGGAAGTTTTGACACTGAATTCAAGTGAATTTTAGGTGAACTTGTTTGTTCCGTGCATGATGTATTTCTGTTGGTTTTTTCAGATCTTACCAATATATTTGAGTCCTTCCTGCCCCAGTTGTTGGCCTATCCCAATCCCATAGATCCTCTCAATGGTGACGCTGCAGCCATGTACCTCCACCGACCAGAAGAATACAAGCAGAAAATTAAAGGTAAGAAGGCAAATCGTTTAACCTAGAGAAGAACAGAAGTCTATTGAGCTTTGATCAGTGATCACCCTTCTTAGTTACTAATAACTTTTCTCAGGCCTGAAAAGACATAGCTGCTGGCTGGAGCAGAGCTCACTAGCTGTGTAGTTCTGAGGGTCAGAGACAACCTTTGGAAGCTGCAGTACCAACGTGGGAGAAGGGAAGGAGAGAAAGAGCAAAAAGAAAGATGGAGCCGAAACCGGTTTGGCTCAATGGATAGAGCGTCGGCTTGGGGACTAAAGGGACCCAGGTTCGATTCCGGTCAAGGGCATGTACCTTGGTTGCGGGCATATCCCCAGTGTGGGGTGTGCAGGAGGCAGCTGATCGATGACTCTCTCTCACCGATGTTTCTATCTCTCTATCTCTCTCCCTTCCTCTCTGTATAAAATCAATAAAATATATTAAAAAAAAAAAAAAAAAAGATGGAAAGATGAGAAAGTGGGAGGCTTAACTGTTGGGTGGAAAAAGGTGTAATCTTGCCAGAAATCCATGTGGACACCTGTCCAAAAGGATTTTTGCCTTCATTTGCTTCCTCTTATCCTATAAAGTTAGAAAATTGGACTTGAGAATAATTATTAATTGAAAGATATAATCTCACATGTGTTTAATAGACAATCATCCTGACCTTTCAATAAAACAGTTACCTTTGGGAGTTGGAAAAATAATTGCCAAATCCATCATTAGACTTATAAAAAATCATAGTTACCTATTGAGTTAAAAATTCCCAATTGGGCCCTGGTTACTGTGGTCAGTGGTGAGAGCATTGCCCATGCACTGAAAAGCCACAGGTTCAGTTTCTGGTCAAGGGCACATACCTGGGTTGCAGGTTTGATCTGGGCCTGGTTAGGGCATGTGCAGAAAGCAGCCACTTGATATGTCTCTCAAATTGATGTTTCTCTCTCGTTATCTCCCTTCTCCCCCTACTTCCATTCTCTCTAAAAATTAATGAGGAAAAATATCCTACGGTGAGGATTAACCACCAAAAGAATATACTCAGCTAGCTTCTTTTCTCGGTCCAATACTGTCTTATTCTGGGAACTTTTCATGTAGGCGTATTGCTCTCCTCCTGCACATACCTTGCCCCTGATCTATGGGATTTTTCTATAATATTAAAACCTGAAATGTACTGTTAAGTTAGAAATATGTTAGTGATGGCAGGACTAGTTTGCTAATTCTTTAGGATTTCGAATCCCATTTTCCCATCTTAAAACTGTTTACATGCTACTGGGACATGAATGTCATAAAAATGAAATTAGGGCTGCAAAAGAATGTTTAAAGCATCACCCAGGTTTAGTGGTGTTCATCATGTTGTCCTCTTTATCTGTGCATGCTTGAGAACTTTCATATCGAAAAGTCTAGATACATAAAGTTCTACCAAAAAGGAAAAGAATCCATAGACCTGTTTGCCTTAACAAATGGAAGGCATTGGTATATACCCAAAATTTAGCACAACTTGCCCATATGCCTAGCAGTTCAGAACATCACCTTTGGCAGAGCAGTGCCCTCTGAGGTGCATTCGTAAGAGATGGTAGTAGGAATAATTCATGAGGATTTGACTACATAGGTCTTCCCTCTGCAGTCTGAGACAGACGGGAGCATTTGGGGCTACTGGTGGAACATGGTCGGTTTCCTTCTCTTTGTTTCCTCATCTTCTCTGGTCTCTACAGGGTATTGTTCAATATTTTTATTGAGATAAAATAGAAATAAATCTCCTCTAACTTACTTAGCTCTCAGGGGCTTTGCAAGTTATCTAATTTATGCGGCAGAATATCTACATAGCCAAACAAACATGTATAAAAAAAAAAGGCAGTTTCAATCAGATAGAATTCTGTTATGAGACTATTAAAAATTTGACAAAGGAATCACTTAACAGTGTCTACAACCCACAGATACCTTTATGCAGAACACATGTCTGTAGTTCTGTGTTACTATGCCGCAGCAATTGAACACTGCTGTTTTAGTACATATCTGCTATAGTACCAATTGCAAAGGAACCTAGCCTACATTTTTATCTTAGAATGGCTAGCTCTAGCTTAGGGAACTCTAGCTTTCTGAAATGTTAATGCCGGCTATCATTTTATCTTCCTTAGTAATCTGAGAAAATCATGGCTGTCAGACCTGAGCTCACCCCAACTTCCTACTGTACCTTTGTTCCCTCCAATAGGAAATAAGAGATGTCCCATCTTATTTCTCAGACTACCCCCACCAACTTGTGATCTTGTTCTCCCATGTATATCCCCTTTTCCTGGTTCTTCCTCTTCCCCTAGACCAGTGATTGGCAAACTCATTAGTCAACAGAGCCAAATATCAACAGTACAACGATTGAAATTTATTTTGAGAGCCAAATTTTTAAAATTTAAACTTCTTCTAATGCCACTTCTTCAAAATAGACCCGCCCAGGCCATAGTATTTTGTGGAAGAGCCACACTCAAGGAGCCAAAGAGCTGCATGTGGCTCGCGAGCCACAGTTTGCCAACCATGGCCCTAACTACTAGAAGCACTCTCATTTCGGAAGCCTCTATCTGCTCCTGTGGATTCCCTTAGGAGTCTTGCTATTTAATTCCTTTCATTTTCAAACTTCTTGTTTCCTTGCCTTAGATTTATGAGATCTACTTTTATTTTTCCTCCTATGCTGGATCTATGATCTCATTACTTCCTAATCTTTTGGATCCTTCTCAAGACCTGTTTTCATGGACCTCTCTGCAGCTTTGGTATTTTACCTCTTACCTTTCTGAATACATTTCTCATTCCATTCCTAAACATGGTCATTCTTTTTAAAATTCTGTCCACCCCCTCTGCCTCTCTCACCCCCTCTTCTGCCTCTCCCACCCCTTGGAAAGCCTATTCAACACTCACAACTTTAAACAATCCCCTCCAGCCCAGTTGGTGTGGCTCATTGGTTGAGTGTCAGCCTATGAACCAGGAGGTCACAGTTCAATTTCCTCTCAGGGCACATGCCCAAGTTGTGAGCTCGATTCTCAGTAGGAGGCAGTCAGTCAGTGATTCTCTCTTACCACTTTCTCCCTCCCTCCTTTCCTCTCTGAAATCAACAAAAATATATTTCAAAAAAATAAATCCTTTCCAGATAGATGATTTCTAAAAATGTGTCTAACGGGAGGAGGGAGTGCGGGCATATGTAATCCTATATAATAAAAGGGTAATATGCAAATTGACTAAACAGTAGAACAACCTGTCGCTATGATGCATACTGATCACCAGGGAGCAGATATTCAACACAGGAGCTGCCCCCTGGTGGGCAGTGCACTCCCACAGGGCGAGCGCAGCTTAGCCACAAGCCAGACTGTCAGCTGGTGAGCACAGCAGCAGTGGCCCGAGGTGGCAGCACTAAGGATGTCCGACTGATGGCTTAGGCCCGCTCCCCATCCTGGCTGAGGGATCCCCCTCAACCCTCCTGAGTGCACGAATGTCATGCACCAGGCTTCTAGTACTTTCAATAAAAAGATTAAAAAATAAAATAAAGCCATGACTGGTTTGGCTCATTGGCCTGCAGACTCAAGGGTCCCAGATTCAATTCTGGTCAAGGGCATATATACCTTGGTTGTGGGCACATCCCTGGTGTGGGGTGTGCAGGAGGCAGCTGAATGATGTTTCTCATGTATGTTTCGAACTCTCCCTCTCCCTTCCTCTCTAAAAAAAAAAATCAATAAAATGCTTTTTAAAATAAAAAATAAAAATAAAAAATGTGTCTGGGTGTGACCTCTCCTAACATCACACAGAGGTCAGTGTATGCACCATTTATACCATGTGCATTATTCATATCGAGTTGATGCTGTTTTACCTGTGACCGTTGGACTGTCTGTAGAACAGGGCGTCATTGGCACTGTCACTTCCCTGCTCATCCTTCACTAAGTGGCATCTCAGCTTGCCATTCCAGACGCTCTGCTACTGTGTGTGATCTTCACTTTTGTGCATTCCTCTAAATGCATCAGTATATGACAGTAAAATTGGCTGAGTTTCAGGTACCCAACTATAACCTCTTCCTTTGTCAGGGAAAGTATCAGCACTACAGAGAAAGAGATAACTCTGTCCCCACCACCCAACTCTAGATGAACCTTTACATTTTGCCTTATTTGCTTCAAAAAAAAAAATTTTTTTTTTTTTTAAGAAAACAAATGTAACTCTCTTAAGGTTGTATTTTTAGCCTCCCACCCCCTTCCTCTCCCTCCGTGTGTGTGGCCAGGCACTGGCTTTCCCCAGAAGCGGTGGCTTTTGCGCTGCGCCTTTCGGGGTCAGTGCAACACGCTCCTTCCCTCTGATGCACTCAGCAGCCGACTGCCTTTTCTCCTCATGGCTTCTCCTCATTAGTGACCTTGCTCTTCATTTTCTCTCTCCTGAAAGGCCTTGTCCCAGTAAGCACTTAATATGTATGTGTTTCCTTGAATATATAATACTTAATTAAGAAGGCTAATAGTGTCAAATTGCAGTGTCAAAATGCAGCAGCTTATTTCTACAAAGTAGCCAGCCCAATAGAGAGTAAAAATAAAATTTCTAGGGCTTTAATAAACATTTCTCTCACTCTAAAAGGTAATGTCAGTTTCTGTCTAGTTAGGGGCTTTTTTTCTCCAACTCATTATCTCAGCGTTAAATTTTGTCACAATGAATTTGTAGGACTCTGAAATCAGAAATCTGTAAACCTTTTTTGTAAACACCAAATTTGGCCACTATGGTGTCTGTTACATGCTCTTCTTTTTCTCTTTTTAAACAACCCTTTAAAAAATATTTTTTTTAAATTCTTATCTAGCCCTAACCGGTTGGGCTCATTGGATTGAGTATCGGCCTGCAGACTGGGAGGTCCCAGGTTGGTTTCCCGTCAAGGGCATGAACCTTGGTTGCGGGCACATCCCCAGTTTGGGGTGTGCAGGAGGCAGCTGATTGATATTTCTCTCTCATCTATGTTTCTAACTCTCCTTCTTTCTTCCTCTCAGTAAAAAATCAATAAAATATATATATATATATATATATATATATATATATATATATATATATATATATATATGTATATATATATATCGATATATATTTTAAATTTTTATCTAGCCTGGCTGGCATGGCTCATTGATTAACTACCTATGAACCATGAGGTCACTGTTGGATTCCTGGTCAGAGCACATGCCCAGATTGCGAGCTCTGTTCCCAGTGGGTAGGAGGGGAGGAATGCAGGAGGAAGCCGATCAATGATTCTCACTCATCATTTAAATGAAAAATTAAAAATCCTTATCTAGGATCCTGCGCTAAGTTATTCAGATTTGACAGTCCCGTTTGGCTGTTTTCTCATCTTCATTTTATTTAGCCCCTAAGGAATCGCCTGGGAGGAAAATCAAAGCGTAAGGAGATGAGGATGTGTGTGTGTTCCCGCTGGCATTCTGAACGGGAATCTAAATGTCTGTCTCTTCATATTGTGTATAGGCTATTTACTTGAGAACAGTGTGCCCTTAAAGATCTTAGGAACAAGATTAGTTGTTTATTCAGCAGTTCTTAAATGTTTTTTCAACCTAGGTTACAGCAGCATGAATCTTCAGGTAAATAATACATGGCAAAGTCACTCCAGGTGGCTGTCTCAGACAGCAGCTCGTTCCTGAGCAAACTGAGAGACTGCTTTTCCAGCTGCTTCAGAAACCTCACAGGCAGGATCTGTTTAAACTCAAATCTATTCCTAAAATAACAGATTTGGCTGACTACAATTATATAACTGCAAATCTAAAAATGGTGGGGGATTTCCTTATAAATTACTATAGAATCATAACTAGTCCAGTGCTATCTGGGAGGTGAATAGTTTTATTAATATAGAAAGTTACAAGAAAGGGCAGGGAACACATGTTCCCAAACCATCACGTTTGGAGGAGGGCAGCCATTCTGCAGGTTAGAGGGCTGGAGGCCGTTTGACGCTGGGCGGCGTCCTGGGTATCTGCTGGCCTTCCTGTGCCAAGGGCGGTTGGCTGCCTTGTGTACACCCATCGGAGGGTGTTCCCACACCTGACAGGTGTTGTTACATCTGGGAGGCGATGGCCCAGGGAGGTCTAGATGGTGACACAGTGTATTTATTCCCCTACAAGTCCCCGTCCTGCTTTGCCTCTCCTCCTAATGGCATAAAGTTCATAAACTCCAAAGTCTTCCCTTGGTCTTTGTGACCATAAATGTTATCTTGCCTCCCACCGACCCACCCACCCACCCACCCATGTTGGGAGGGCTGGGACTTCCTGGGACTTGTCAACATTGGGGTCATAAAGCACATGCCTGCCTGCTCACTGCCCCTGTGTTTTCTTTCTCCCTGCCCGCTGTGCAGAGTACATCCAGAAATACGCAACGGAGGAGGCGCTGAAGGAGCAGGAGGAAGGCACTGGTGACAGCTCGTCGGAGAGTTCTATGTCTGACTTTTCAGAAGATGAGGCCCAGGATATGGAGTTGTAGTAGAAAAAGCACCTGCTTTTCAGAAAGACTATTATTTCCTAACCATGAGAAGCAGACTATAATATTCATATTTAAACAAAGCAATTTTTTTTATTACTAAACAAGGTTTTTATGAATAATAGCATTGATATATATATATTATATATCACCCTTTAGATCTTGATTTCTTGGTCATTTCTCAACCTGAGGTGCATAGCATATTCCCACATTCCATTTTGGTAGCAATATGCGGTCTGGATGCATGCATTCATAAGTCCATTTGGCCAAGTCAGCCTGTGTGCTACTAACTGTCAAAAGAAATAGCCGCTCTGATAGGTAGACAAGTAAACATAACAGGAAAAAGTTGCTTCTTTTATTGATGGTTCCAAAGAAACAAACCGAACCAGCCAGCTCTTGGGTGTGAAGATAGAATAGTGCTTTTTCAGACGGGAAGGAGGAGGTGGGGAGCCAGCCGTCCGGACTGCTCCCTCCTGTGGTCCGGCCTGGGTGGCCTTGTTGCTGGGGAGTAACAGTGTGAGCAGGGAGCTCATTGGAGTGTTGAAACGTAAAACAATTTCTGACTCGGATTTTAAGTGCATTTTTATACGTAGATTCCTGCCCTCTGGCTACTCGGCCCTGCAGCCTCTCCTTTGGGGCGGATTCCTGTGGAGAACCTGTGCGAAGTGTTTTCTGAGCTGGACTCTTTCTACGGTAGAGCTTGTGATCCAGACCTTTGTTGAGAGGCCAGGCCAGGAAGAGAGGAGTGGCTGGGAAGATGCTTCCTCTCCCGCAGGTGCAGTCACCTCCTCCTCCGGTTGGCCGCTTTGAGACGCTGCCCTGGCCGAGAGCTTGAAATCTGAGGGTGGTTGTGGGTTCTTTTTGATTTGGGGGTTTGGGTTTGGGTTTTCGGTGTGTGTGTGAGCTGTGCTTAGACAGGTTACACAGTTAATCTCCACCTGCCAAGAGGCGGCGGCCTCCGTGGAGAGCCGCTCAGCGGACCATTCGACTCAGGAGGACGACCTTCCTGGTGCCTGGGACTCCTGGGTTCTCTCCTCCGCGTTTCGGTTTCGGTTTCGGTTTTCCTGCTGCTGCTGCTCTGGGCAACGGCCTGGTCATCATCTGCTTGTGGGAGTGGGAAGTGGGTAGTTTAGACCCAACACATATTCTAAATTTCACATGAGTGAGGATTGGAACAAAGAAAGTATCTTGTACCCAAAGTGACTGTACATGGGAGAAAACAGCTTTTTTCGGAGTGTGACTGAGCGGAGGACAGGAATCGGAAATGTGATGCAGTAGTGAAACAGGTTAGAAGGAAGAGAGTCTTCTCTCCTGTGCATGATAAGAGGAAATCAGACAGCTGACAGTGCTTGCTAATGAAATGTGTACTCAGCTAACCATATGTCCAGGTTGCCGGCAGTTTCTTTCCCATCTGAGTGTTGCCTGCTGAATTTGGAGAACTCTAGACAGCACCTCTGTATTCGTTTTGTGTCGCAACCAGTAGGACAAGAACAGAATTAGCCAATCCTAAAACTTTCTAAAGACAGTTTTTGAATGTCCCACCGGGATAATTTAATTTCTCTTTCTGATGTGTGTTTTTAGTTTAGAAGTGCTATATTCCATAAGATTTGAGTCAATGAGGTTGGAAGATATCCTATCTTTTTTAGTCAAAAAGCACAATCAATCTTTTCTTTGAAAATCTATATAAAGTACAACTTGCTTTTAGCATGATTATTTTCCTAAATAAAAAAAAAGACAAAGAATTTACTTATTTTATGTTAATTACGGGCATGAAGCAAAAGGTTTTCTTTACAAAAATTAAAAGTGCAGTTATGTACGGCTGTGGTTAGTTAACCGAACTGAGTTGCCGACCTAGCATTTGTGGCTTGTTGGAAGGGTAGTGTTAACTATTTAACATGTGACGGTGTACTTCACTCTTATCTAGCACGTTGTCTTCTCATTGCTTTGGGGGAGGGAGGGTCTGCTGGCACTGTCTAACTTGCTTACCTGCTGAATTAGCAGTATGCTTGTGCTATAACCGGTATTGTAGGTGCGACTTAGGGTAGGCTTAAAGTGCTGGGTAGTGATTTGAGTTCAAACAATAAAAAATTGTATTTTTTCAATATTGTATAAACAATAGTGTTCTAATTACCTTAAAAAAACACACAATTATTTTAAATCTTGTCCCCAAAAACTAGCAGAACCAAGTTTAGGAAAGATATGTGCCACAGCTATGCTCCTCGACTGAATCCTTGTTCTTCTAACGAAAAGACATCAGCTTGCCTGTGATGAGAGCGCGACACTAGAGATCTGGTAGTGCAGAATCCCACGTGAAGGCGGGAGCGGGGTGCAGGCGATAAGAACCAGACCCAAGTGTGGCTGCTGTGCGTGTGTGTGTGTGTGTGTGTGTGTGTGTGTGTGTGTGTGTGTGGTCTCCACGTCTGTGTGATGAAAGTGTAATTAGGGCTTCTCTATTAGTACTGGAAGCTTCCAGAATTGCTACTCAAATCACTCATTCTGTGCAAATCACTCATCAGAGCACTAACCTTGGTCCCATGCATGTTGCTCACTCTGTGTGGGTCTTTAGCTCTCCACTTCCAAGGGGACTGTGGGTAAGTTGAACAGAATCCCTTCTTAAAGCTAACTGTGTTCCCAGTGCCTGGAAGAGGTGGGAGTAGGAGACCGTACTTACAGTGCAGAGGGGCCTGCAAGAGGCCTGGCATGGATCTGAGGTCGGGGCCCCCAGTAACAGATGGCAGAGGGAGGCCGGGGCAGAGGGTCTCAGCACCAAGCACTTTGCCAGCTTGTCTCATCACAGCTCAGAAGCATTTGGAGCCCCTCAGAAGGGCCAGGTGTTACTGCGCTTAGAAGTGGTGGTGGTAAGTCAGGGTTGCTTCTGGCAGTTTCCCTTCCATAATACTGGTCACTTTTAAAATTCTGCCCTGTGGTTTACCAGCACCGGCTCTTCTCTGCCCCTTTCAATGACCGAGCTCCAGCTCTTGCCAAACACCAACGAGCAAGATGGCTGCGGCAGTGGATGCACTGCTCTCCGCGGCCCAGGCCCCAGCCTGGTGGGTTGTGTCTGTTGGTAGCCAACCTAGACTATGGCGTCTTTGCTCTTTTAGTCTTCAGTCTCATTGCCCTCCTTGACTTGACTGTGCAGTTTCAACCAGCATTTTATACTAGTGAGATAATTACCACAAGTTGCCACGTACCTAACATTTTTCTTCCACTTCCAAAGCTGTTCTAATTGCCAACCGGCTGATCTAAGCTCTTGGAGGGTGTCTCCCCTCAAAGGAATGTCCCCTCCCAAACGTCTCCCTGGAGCCACACGTGGCCTTGGCCTTGGCCTCGGACACTTGCTTTGTAAGACACCTCCTGTTGGGATGGCTGCTAATCATGAAAGACACATCTTCCTCTAGCTCCAGGGGCCAAGCTTCTGGGAACTAGTGTTGATTTTGTGGCAGGTGACCCTTCTGTGTCCTAGGAACTCGATTAGAAAAGTGAAAGCCATCAGCAGAAGTAAGTTTTATTTCACCAGCTTCCTAACTGGGTTCACAGCCTTGCTGACTGAAATCAAAGCATTTCTGACTGGGCACAGACACCCGGTTTTCTTGGACTTCTGAATCCATGTCCATGTTTCCTATGGCCACGGACACCTTGGCGATCCCGTTAGGGACTGGCTGGAGTGGAGGCCCCGGGGGCAGGGGAGCTAACGGCTCAGGTGTGAAGGTTTTCCCCTCACCTGAGGGAGGAAGGGCCAGGACTCGTAATCCAGCAAATGCTGGTCTTGGCTGTGGCCTCGGGGAGGAACGGCCATTACTTACTGATTGTATTTGGTACATATTGTGTGATACTTGAAGAGATAAAAGGGACTCGCCAGCCCTTAGCTGAAATCTGAGCTCTTTACCACTTATTTTTTCCTCGCCCCATCTCCCCCCTTCCATCTTTTCCCTTGCATTGTGATGATCTAGTGGCACTTGTGTCACCAGGACAAATGCCTCCTCTGACTATAACCTCTTAATAGTTGTGTATAATGAAAACTGTAAACTTTTTTAAAATAAAATGTGTATATACCTTGGCAAACGGCTGGACTTTGATGAATGAGATTGGCCCCCGTGATTACTTGGCCTGTTTTTATTAACGCCCTCCCTGTTCGTCTGGCTCCTCTGCACAGCAGCTGGCCTTTTCCTTTTCCTTTTCCTTTTCCTTTTCCTTTTCCTTTTCCCTTTTCCTTTTCCTTTTCCTTTTCCTTTTCCTGCGGAGAAGCTCTCACAAGGCAGACTGGGTGAGCATGGGACGGGAGTGTCGCTTGTAGCAGTAATCACCGAGACCGTGCCCTCAGAGGCCTGTCCCTGGAGCAGCAGGTGCCTGCTGGCTGTGCACAGGGCTGGCCGGGAGGCTTCCCCAGGGCCTTAAAGAGCCATTTCTTCTGTCAAGTCCTGTGGCCTGAAGAACCCAGTGACCCCAAGTGGATCAGCAGCCATGGCTCCCACGTTAGCCCAAACCTTCCAGACCCCGGCAGCTGATGCTGGAGTCCGCAGGCAGTGAGCTTCCTGCTGGGGGCCAGTTCTTCCTCAGCAGGTCCCCCTGTGCCAGGTGCCAGCCTCAGCAGCAGGGGAGAGCAGTGGGTCCATCAGAAGTTAGCCACTGATTATCGCTGCATTTCCCTTCCTGAGGCATCGCCCTCAGTGGCCACCAGAGGGAACTATTACCTAGTTTATTGGAGAATCTGTTGGATTTTGTCAGCAGACCCTTAAAGCGTTCCTTTGGTCACATGTTCTCATTCCCCCAACTCCCCGTTTACTTCTTATTCATTCCCCCCACACTTTTTTTTTTCCTTGTTGCATCCTCATGTATTCTGCAGTAAGCCAGCTTTGTATCTACCTGGGAGGGGAGAGGTAAAGCCATCGGAGCAATGTCCTATATGAAAACACCTCAAAGTACCCTGGCTGCCTCCAGGACTCAGAAGCCAGGCATTGCACAGGCTCTTTGCAGGTGGTCTCACTGGCCCCTCAGCCAAGGGTGGAGTGGGCCCCAGGACTGAACTAGCAGTGTGAATTCTAGTCCCGTCTCCTGCACTAACTAGCTGTACAGCCAGCCTTAAGTTCCCTAAGCTAGTAGGTTCTGACACTGACTCAACTCCACCTAGCCTCTGAAACATCACAGGACACAGTATTCGGAGAGAGGAATTGTGTCGACCCGAGAAACACCAAGGTTTCGAGAGCAGAGGGTGAGTTTTGGAACCCCAAGAGCTTTGGGAGTTTGGAGCGTCTGCTTTCAGCTGAGGCGAGAATTGGATCAGTGGGTCACACACAGCAGCTCCTTTAAAAACTGTGGGAGGATGGGGGTAGGGCTGGCACCTCGTCTCCTCTCCCGTCCGTAATCACTGCCTCAGCCTCAGTCCGGCTGCCCGCCTGAGAAGGGGCCCTGGGTGTCTGCGGCACATGGTCCTGGGAATGAAGGAACGTCACCCAGTTTAAGTTCTCTTGCCATCTCTGAAGGCTGCTCTCCCCGCCACGCCCACCCCACCCGGGATGCGTTTTCATGACGCGGCCCTGGTACTTCCTGCGCCCACCTAGAACCAGGGCAAGGAGGGTGTGGCCCTCAGGCCTTGGCCCTGCAGAGGCCCTGGAGCACCTGACAGGAGCAGCCCTGCTGATGAGAGAAGCTCGCAGGCTTCTAGGGACTCCGATCCCAGGATGGGCAGAGAATGATTCGTCTTGAGCCGACCGCTGGCCAGTGCCTCTTGTGGGGTCTGTGCACACACAACTTCCTGGAACTGAAGACTTGCCCTGTTGGGGTTTAATGTTAGAAGGTAAAAGTTGGGATCGTTTCCCCTCTTGCTGTGTGTGTGTGCGCGCGTGTGCGTGCGTGTGCCCATGGTGACAGATGTTTAGTTTTGAAGGAGCCTGGACTCCTCAGAGCTCTTTGGGACTCAAACTTGGCTCCTAGGCCTGGTGTCAGGTGGTTGAGGTGGCAGGAACAGACTTGGGCTTCCTAAGAGCAAAACTCGACCTTCGAGCTGCCTGGTCATTGCCGGATGACCTGGAGGGGGGCTGCTGGACAGCCTTCAGATCTCAGCTGCCCTTCCCATGGCTCCTGCCAGCTACGTCCAACATGCAGAGCAAGCAGCTCCCTTTGAAGCTTCAGCCCGGATTTTGTTCTATCCAATTCTATGAGCAAGGAGTCAGGAGCCTGCTACTGGCCACGGGGGTGCATTGCAGAGAGTGGACCAAAGCTTTTCAAAGTTGTACTTCAGCGGAGGGCAAACGAATTATGCTGGTAGCAAGTCAGCAGCCCAGAAACGTGAAGTCTTCAGTAATGCCCTCCTCCGGAGAGCGTCAGCAGTGGCCAAAGCGGGCTTCCCTGAGGCTTTCTCACGGGCCCTGGGAGCCTTGGAGGAGGAGGCCCGAACGTGGCCCCATTCCACAGTAACTGCTTGTGAGGTGCCAAGAGATTTGGGCACAGTGAGTGGGCACAGTCACTGTTGGAACCCAGGTCTTCAGGTCAAAAGATGAGTGTTCTTTGCAGGAGCCATGCTGTGCCAAGGCCGGTGCCCATCTAATACCTAAGTGAGCCTGCCACCTGAGACTCCCACCAGATGCTTCCAGGTGATTCTGTGAGCTTGGCTCCCCCTGCCCCTGGGTCTCTGAGGGTCAGGGCCTGCAGTAGAGCCAGAAAATAAAAATCAGACTTAGCCCAGCCCACTCCCTAGAGCAGAAATATAGAAATAGAATGCCATCTACAAAAGTAATTTAAAACTTTCTAGTAGCCACATTAAAAAAAAAAGAAAAAAGAAAAAGGTAGCCAGGCTGGTGTGGATCAGTGGTGAGCCTCATCCCATGTACCAACAGGCCCCTAGTTAGATTCCAGGGCATTTGCCCAGCTTGCGGCTCCATCCCCAGTAGGGGGCATGCGGGAGGTAGCTGATTGATGTTTCTCTCCCTCTCTGAAATCAATAAAAACATATTTTAATGTAAAAATAATGTTTTATTCAATATATCCAAAATATTCCAGTGTGTGATTACTATTTAAAAAGGAATGAGGTGGGCAAAAGACCTAAATAGACGCTTCTCCAAACTGGACATACAGATGGCCAAGAGACATGTAAAAATGCACA